ACCACAGAAACTGCCCAAGAGACATGCTGGGGTGGGGGTGGGGGGGCTGGGAGAGAACAGGGCCACAAAACTGTCAAAGCTCACAGGAAAGGCATGTTTCCATGAGGAATAGAGTAAGAATGGAACCAGAACTGAAGAAAGCCAGAAAGAGAGAGGCATGTAGAGAAACAGATTTTCTAGAAACTTCCTGTCCACTCCTCCTTCTCATTCTCTGCATGCCACATTGTGCGCCCAGACCTGTTCTGGAAAGCACATCTAGACTGGGGAAGGCCTCCAAGTCTGTAGATCTGAGGAGAGCATCCTGAAGGAGAAGCCTGCAGGGCATCCACCTGCAGCCCCTCAGTGGCTCTGGGCTCAGGCTCGGGTTGGGGGGCTCCCTGAGGCCGGACAAGAGTGAGCCTTCAGGACTACACTGGGCCCAAGTCTGACATGCACTGTGCAGTGAAGAGAGTAGTGTGTCCTAGCATTAGACGCTCACTAACAGTGAGCCTTGCTGAGAGAGAGAGAGAGAGAGAGAGAGAGAGAGAGAGAGAGAGAATATGTATCGTGAGAGTATGTGTCTGAGTCTTCATATGCATGTTTTAGTATGGGTGTATATGTCTATAAATCTGTGCATATCTAAGAGTATATATGTTTGCTTGATATGTGTCTGTGTACATATGTGTCTGTGTCTTTCTATGTATGCATCTGTGTCTCGGTGTGTGTGTGTAGGACACTGCACTGTCTTAGGTCATACACTTAGGTGCATGTGAATATGATCAATGCTAAAATTTCAGTTTGCTCTCTGTACAAATGAACATTGAATTTGCTCCTAAATCTGAGTTCTTAGAGTATAAACCCTGGTATTAAAGTTCCAAGGCCATTTTAAACTCAAGTAAGCAGAATGACCTCTTATCCTTGTCCTAATTTGATACAAAAAAGGCTCCTGGGACTATGGATCTATAACTGTATTCCTTGCCATCATTTTTTATTAATATAACAGTCATTTCTGTAAGACATCTGGGACAGGCATTGCTGTATGTTCAGATATAGGCAGGTCGAAAAGCACAGGAAATAGGAATGAAGTGAGGAAATGGGCATAGTCTTTGGTAAACACAGTTGCTATGAGCCCCAGGTCCTAGGAGCAGAACTTAAAAACAAAAAGCCCTCCAGTAGTTAAAATTCACAGGAGGCAAAGGCTGATTAACATACACAAGAAACCCCTGAAAGCTTTAAATCCAATCACTTCCCTGGGAGCTAAAGTAGGAGCAGCAAGATTATCCTGCAAAGCTTTGGATGGATGCAATGTCTTTTCATCCCACGAAAACCAAAGAAAGAGAAACAACTTTAGATGGCACGAAACCAGAACTGGCAAGGCAGACAGTTACGGCTCCTTGGGAAGAAACACAGAGACACTGTCTGTCTCGTAGATATTTCAGACAACTTGCCAGGAGTGGGCGAGGTGCAAACTAAGTTGCTCTATTGATCACTCCAAATGGGATGTATAACAGTCCCGGGGGTGAAGACAGATCCAAACACTAAAACTGTTTTATGGAGAAGAGACTGTCTCTATGTAACAAGTGGTTTAAATATTAACTTTCTATATTCATATTTTAATATGAAAAGACAGTTTATGTTACAGATAAGAGACCTCACATCTACAAAAGGGGGAAAAAAAAACCTCCCTCTTGGATTTACTTTCTAGAAATACAAGACAGATGAAAATACTTTTAAAGAAGAAAAATATATGTAGTCTAAAAATTAATGATTTCTAGACTGGAGATATCAGTCAGTAGCAGAGAGCCTGTTTAGCATTCACAAAGACCCAAGTTACATACCCAGCATTGTGACCTCACATCTACAAAAGGGGGAAAAAAAAACCTCCCTCTTGGATTTACTTTCTAGAAATACAAGACAGATGAAAATACTTTTAAAGAAGAAAAATATATGTAGTCTAAAAATTAATGATTTCTAGACTGGAGATATCAGTCAGTAGCAGAGAGCCTGTTTAGCATTCACAAAGACCCAAGTTACATACCCAGCATTGTGAAAAAATGAAATGAAAAAAAAAAAATTAATGGTTTAAGACAAAGAAGATTATTCTGCTTTTAAGTACAGAAGATAGATCTGGAATTGTGACCTCAGCAAGAGGGAAACATGTGGCGTAGGTTATACAGCTTTTAAAAAATAAAATTTGGGGAATCAGTGGTTAAGAGTGCATACTGCTCTTACAAAGGACCCAAGTTTGATTCCCAACATCCATGGCTGGTGGCTTACAACCACTTGTATCTGCAACTCCAGAAGACTTGAACTATTTTCTAGAATCCATGGGCATCTGTACTCACATACACACACATTCATACACACACACACACACACACAGAATTTAAAAAGCAACATAAATCTAAAAAAATTTCTGATAACTGTAGATTCACATATTGTTTTTAAGAAATAAAGATACTGCACTCCTTTGGTGCTATTTCCTCAAAATATGTTTCAAAACTCACAATATAGCTAGGCATAGTGACACACGCCTTTCATTCCAGCATTTGGGAAGCAGAAGCAGGCAGACGTCTGCCAGTTTGAGCCTAGCCTTGTCTAGATAATGAGTCCCAGGTCAACTAAAGCTACATAGTAAGTCCCTGTCTCAAAACAAAGAAACAAAACAACAATCTTACAATATATATGCAAAAATAATTCTCCAAACTGGAACTATCAAGGTTATTTACAAACACAAGAAATTAGCAACCCACCTTAATACAGCTACACAGTAGTCTATACTGACATGAACTATTTAACTGAATTTATATGATCCAAACACACTGAGCAGGTGAATATTTCTCCAAAACACTAGAAAATCTGTAGATAGATTTGTGGCACTTTAAGATCTACAGAATAAAAGATATCAAAGTTTATGCATCATTGAAGAAAAAAAGACTACACGCTGATATCATCACCTGTGTTTCTAAGCCACTATGTGCTGAAGCTCTTTCAAGAGTTCAGGAAAACAATTCTGTTCTTTTTCAAATTACAGGTAACAACTGCCAATTTTAATCCCCTCCCCCTGGAGTCACCTTAGTGGATTTATGAGAGACGGACTGCCTAGTAGTAGATTTCACAGTATGAAGGACAGTCTGGGAAGCAGCAGGGATTGATTTTTGCTTTTCCCAGTGCCTCACTTCTGCATCACAGACAGATGTGTCCACATCCAGCTGGCTGTGCTCTAAAATCAGGAGCATGCACTCCAAGGCAACAGGTTGCGAATCACTCTAGGAAGTCAGCAGAGTGACAAAGATTGATAATCAGCTTCTAGAAGGCCAAGGTCATGAATCAACTTACACTGAGTGAACCCTGCACATGTCTAAAACCATCCACTGGCGATACCAAGCTGAAAGCTGTCACTGAAACGTGTTATCTTTGCAGAAGGCTGTCAGGCATTGCAAGTCAAGTAGAAAACTGTATCAGTCCAGCACGTTGCCTCTGGCAGGCTTCTAGAATGAGGTGCTGAAGTGGCACTGGCTCCAAGCTCTGGTTACACAGAGTGTGACAAAGTTCCCAGACACTAGATTCACATAGCTTCACAGCTTTCCAAAGGACACCTACATTTGATATACAAAACTTGACCACTGCCCAAGTGTGGACTGTAATGGTAAGCATATAATCTATGCTGAAGGATTGGGAGACCAGATGTTAAAGTGTGTACAAATACCATTGCTTGGGTCTGTGACACAGCTCAGCCAATAATGCACAAACCCAACAAATCTGAGTTCAATTTTCAGATCTTCCAGTGGAAAGAGAGAAGCAGCTCCCCAAAGTTGTCCTTTGATCTCCACATACATGTTGTTGGACCCTCCATCCATGATCATATACACTAATGACAGTAATAAATAACACTTATAGTACATTAGTTTACCTTGAACAGCTACAAAAATAGGCATAATCAAGGTAGAGCAGAGGGGCCTGTTACATGACTGAAAGGTGATCTGTGAACAGGGCCTTATGGGAAAGAGTCCAAAGCCAAGAAACACTGTGAGCATGTAAGAGGAAATTGTAAGAACAAGCCAGGCAGGTCAAAGTCATGGGCCAAGAGCAATTTCAGACGGATGCTGTTTGAGGAAAGGAAATGGATCCCTAAAGCTGCCTGCCTATTCAGGGAGGTTTAAAGAAAGGGCCCAAGGCACGCATGAGCTTGGCTGATAGTGATTTCATTTTAGCCCAACATGGGGCCTCATATGTCCTCGGGTTCCCAGAAATCACCAGGAGTAGTTTGTAGTGAGATGACTGTCTGCAAAGGATGCTTTGAGGAGGGGAGAAACGAGGAGGACAGAAGGACACTTACTTGAATGGGCTCAAGTTATAAGCAGTTAATTAATAGGATATGAATAAACCTTTTTAGGTATCAACATAATCCCTAGCTGCAGTAATTGGGGACATAATATACATCCCATTGATGGCCGTCAAATCGGAAATCAGGGAACAGCAAAGCATTCTCTTCGACTTCTAAGATCAAGAGAAGCAGAGCTGTACAGGAGAAATGAACAGGGAGGCTGTTCTTCCTACAATAGTAAAAAGCTGGTGCTACCCAGTCACAAACCCCCAGATGACAAGTGAGTGCAAAAAGAAAGAAGATAGAGAGCTCATCAGGCAAGAGAACTTTCTATACCTGAATTCCCAACATGGCAGCCACTGACCCTATGTAGCTGCTGAGTTTTAGAAACATGCCCAGTACCATCAAAGGAACTAAATTTTAATCTTACCTAATTTTTAAGTAAAACAAATTTAAAAGTTAATACCTGATATATCAGATAATTAGACTTTATTATACACACTTTATATATCTTTAAAACCTGGGGCACAGAATGGATAAATCATTTATGTGACATCACACATTGGTTCTTAATGTAAAGAATGCTCTAGGTTCCATTTAGCAGTCACTACTATTTAAAAAGCATGTTAGAATAAAATATCAAAGACACCTAAACAGTTCCTGTGGATTGTTAGATGAAGAATTCACAGGCTACCTGTTTTCCCCGTGTTTTTCATCCAGGTTTTGTTAGAAGACTCGTTGTCAAAGCCGTCAAGTTGGAGTTCCTGATATTCTTCACCAACATGGGCATCGTGGTCTAAAATGTTTATAGGAGACTGGTGATGGCCCCCACAGCTGACACTGGATGTGAACCAGCGCTCAGGACCATATGCACCTGTTGAAAGAAACCAACACTTCAGTTCTTGTGGCTAAAGGGTCAAGGAGTCAATGAACAATGAAGGAAGCAAAGGAGGCTAGAGGGATAGCTCAGCAGGCCAAGTGCTTGCTGTGCAAGTATGAGGATCTTAGTTCAGATTTCCAGCACCCACATGAAACCACGTACGGCAGTACGTGCTTGTAGCCCCAGCAGTGGGGAGGGGCAAGTGGGCTCACTGGCCAGTCAGTCTAGGCTAAGTGAGAGGCTGTCTCAAAGAACATGAAGCGGGAAATGATGAAGAAAATGCCTGATATTGACCTCTGGCTTCCAGATGTGTATACACAGGCATGCACACACATATGCATACATTAGACAGACACACAGAAAGAGAAAAACTTTTGACATATCCTATTCTGGGCTGGCCCAGTACTGAATCTATAGATCCAAGCCATTGACTTGACAAGGCAAGAACTGAAAAAAGACACATTATTTCAGCAGGTTTTGCTTCTTGATTTGCAAACACTTTCTGACTCAGTCTTTAGTCAGATTCAGAGAGCTATACAGAATGGCTGTCAGTGTTCTTCACATTTTTTGAAAACTTTAAATAAGTTTCCTAAAATAAGCAGAACACTCATTCACAAGAAAGTGACTCAATTAATTTAGTATGTTTTGGTACTGTGAACAAGATTCTGAGTGTGACTTTGATCTTAGCTCACAAGAGTCTATAAACAGGACAAGAGAAAACAGAACCTCAATATTAAAAGCATCACAAACTGGACAAAAATTGCCATCAGTGACAGAGGTAGAGAAGCGGGCTTTCCTTTGGCTACCTGTGGAAGACTTCTCAGTTTGGCCACAGGCTGTGCTCTTTCCCAAGCTTCCCTTCTCTTTAGGAGATGAAATCACCTTCTGATGGGACTCAGCATTCATGGAAATAAATGACGCCACAATCAAAGGAAGAAAACATGGTCACAAAACAGACTTCTGATAGGTTTCCACAAAGCAGGGACACAGGAAGCACTGCATTAGCCCCTCTGCCATGTTTGAAAATGAAATACTAGGGGAATGCTGGCTGCCAAGTGGGTGACGCTCTCGGAACTTTCCAAGTCTCACTTTCAATCTTATGGCAAACAGAGCAGAAAAGAAACAACTCTGCTCAAAGAATGAACATGAACCCCCCTTTCAGTATGAGGCAAGCACTAAGCCGAAACATTACAGTGCTTTCTAGAAGATAAACCTCAGTCATATCATATATGTATGTATGTATGTATATATATATATATGTATATATACATATTATATATATGAGAGAGTTTTTAGCTTTCTTTTTTTAATGTATCACAAAGATGGATTGTTAAAGTCATCTTTCCCATTTTTGTGCCTCTCCATACAACTACCTTGTGTGACAGGAAATACAGATGACTATAACTCTTCCTGCTGCTTAAGAAGAGCCCCCATCGGTGTCCATCCTATCACCTGGCAACCACTTGATATTCCCTTAAGGCTAATGCAGCTCAAAGCAGATCCAGAGAATAGCACTGGACAAGAGGAACCAATCACAGACATCTCTCAGTCAAGGTAATGGGCAGATCATAGCTACAAGAGCAACTGGAACGCGTCCTCAAAACTGATTCATAGTCTCGCTATCTGGAGAATATTTCAGTTTGGCTATAATGCCTGGGTCATTTTCCCAAATGCCCATCCCAAACAGGAGGAGAAAAATGGACTATCAGAAAGAACATGTTCACACAGTGGCAAAGGTCTGGAAAGCTGAGGACATTTTTGAGCCATTTGCAAGAGTCTAATACCTCCTAGAAAAAGATAACACTGAAGTTCTTTCCAGTGAGTCCAAAGCAACAAGGCAACCACAACAGCTTTTGTGCAAGGTGTTTGGCCTCTTATTCCAGTCCCCCAAGACGACCCTGAGCCACAAAGAGAACTACTGCATACATTTTTGCCAGTTCATTTTCACCTTCTAAATATTTGAGACAAGGAGAGGAAGAGGACATAATGAATGCCTCCAATTCGCCTCAGCCCACCGCTTCAATTCCTCTCAGATGCGACCAAAACACTTTCAAAAAATGAGTGACATGATTGCTAATATATTGAAGGGGGAACAAATGTGAAATCTGGTCAGCTACAAAGGGGTCGGCCTGTTCAAAATATGTAAATGAATGTGTTAATATTGTGTGTGTGTCTACAAATAAAATAGCTTCTAGAAACCTCCTGTGGCAATAAAGAGATAGTCAGTGCCACGGCGCATAGGACAATAAGGCTAAATACATCCAACACCCAGGAAATAATAAAAGCATCATTTGTAAACACTGACACCTGACAATTATCTTTCCAACCCACCACCACTACTGTATTAATAACAATGATTATAATAATAGTAAGAATAAAAATATTCTTTAGGCCATCAGATTGTTCACATTGCTTCGTATAACCTCCCAGTGATGGGTGAGATATAATTTAGCAGACTATAAAAAATAATAAGCATTCATACTAGCGGGATTCGTTTATTCACTGGTAATAATCTAAAGTTTTAAGCTGACTACACGCTTGCTTTCACACTTCCACCCAATATACATTCAAGTACAATTTTAATTGAAACTGATCTTCCACTTCAGATTTCAAATTAATTCTTCTTTGGAGGGCTTCATGCTCCAAACACCCCTGCCTTGCAAACCCCCTATATCATTAGTGGAGGAAATAGAGCACTTTTTCCAAGCTTGCAGGTATTGATTATCTATTCTGACATCCAAACACCACTGTTATTCCATACTGTAGAAATCTCTCTAGTGTGAAGACACTTTATAAAAGGACACAGATTCATATCATTAATCATTTGAAGATGTGCAAAGTCTCACCATATTGAATGATTTCTTTTTAAAGAACTTAAAAAAATTTTTTAGATGGTTGTTAGCTGCCATATTGGTGCTGGGAACCAAACCTGGGTCCTCTACAAGAGCAACCAGTGCTCTTGACTGCTGAGCCATCTCTCCGGATCTTTGTTTTTTATGAACTTTTGATAATAATAAATGTTTCAAAAAAATAAAAAAATAAAAACAGGACAAAAAACAAAGATTGTGGTTAATTTAAACCCAGCTTCTTCAGAAAAACAAAACAAATCCCACCAATCAGCAAGAAGGCTTTCTGCTTCGAGGTGTGACATGATCCATTTAAAATGAAAAGTCATTTGAAGGTGAGTTTCCTCTTTCTGATTCTATCAGAAGGAGCAGGCTATTTGCATTTCAGTAGCTGGGTTCACACTAAACAGATCTGCACCACTGACATCAGATCCACACCTCTTGACCTTTCCCTGCCAAAAGTAACTTTCCTTTCACCTGTTAAAACTCTCACAGGAATGAGACCTGAGTCAGACATCCTCTCAGCCTTAAGAACAAGGGAACCCAGTAGTGCCTCCCATTCAGCCAGGGATGAAAAATGTTTCCTTTTTAATGAATGCAACAAACTCAAATGAAACCCCTGGACAAAAGCTTGGTCTTGGTCTTGGTCTTGGTGAATATGGACTTTATCCCCAGGGTCCTGTACTGTACTGGCACAGGCTTCCTGGTGGCCTTTGGCCTCATTATCTATTGCTATTGTTAACTTATTGCTTATTCCTACTAGTGATTAACTCCATGAGGTGAGGCTCTTCTACATCTGGTTCAATCATTAGAGTTAGATCACATAGGAACTTGTGTGACCTCCCCACCACCCAGAAGGAGCCTTTCCTGACATCAATGCCCTGAAATAGCAGCAGGGCATGTGGCTCCTGTCATGTCACATGCTAACAAGGCTCATGATCTTCCAGTTACCCATACCCAGAAATGTCCTTGGGATTCCTCAACCAGAGATACAAAAAACCCACAATGTCCCTTAGGCTATGTCTGTCAACCTAGGACCCATTTCCTTAAGACACACCATCTGGCCCCTCCCTATTCCTCTTACAAGAAAACTTAAAACAGGCTCAGCTCTCTTTAGGCAGAAATGAAACTCTCCAGTTCAGACACCCACTGTATGGCCCACATTATAAAGATGGTATCTCTCTTGCGCCTCCTCTCCTGCCCCGAAATCTACTGCCTAGCTTAGGTTCCTCCATACATAAGTCCTAAAACATATTTGGGGATGCAAATAAACAAACAAACAAACAAACAAATAAATAAATAAATAAATACACAAACAAACTGGAGGAAGAGATAAGTGGAGAGTCTGTCTTCTAATAGCACTTACTGTGTTCTTGGTGCTGGCTTAGTTTTAATTTGACTCCTCTATCTACTGACTGTTTACTGAGTCTTCTTCACTCCCTTGGTCTCCAGAGTTTGGATGCCAATTTCAGGAGTAAATACCCCTTTGCTTCATTAATACATTCAATTAGTCTGAACTGTGACAAGGTAAGATGTACTGCAAGTAAATGCTGTGCATGAACAAATCTACCTGCAAATTTAACAGCCAAGCTGGATGACTGTGCTTTGTAAAACGAGGGTACAATAGAAACTTTGCTTTTAATGCCTTGTGGGAAACATGATTATTTTTGAACTTCTCTTATTTTTGGTATACTTTAACAGTCTTTGCTATTCAAAGAAGGTCAGCCAAGGAGGAAATTGACTCTTATTGATCCATTTAAACATTGACCAGGCACAGAGATGAAAATAGGACAGGGCTGCCCCAGCCCTGGGGCTCCTTAGATCAACACAAGCAGTTTACAGCTTATCAGCCTCATCTGCATCTGAAGTTGCTCATATCAAAGGGTGGTTATGGGGCTTATAAGAGATAATAATACAGGCCAGGTGTCTAGAGCAGTATCAGTAAGAAAAGCTTCCTAAGTGGCAGATGCTAATTGCTTTCATTGTTGGATCACAAAAGCAAGCTGTAGGCTCTCCAGAAACAGACCACAGGATACAGGAAACAATCAGGAAGCCCCGCCAAAAGACAAAGAGAGAACCCACTGATTTTATAGGACAGGACTTTTGAGTGACACTTGAGTGACATCACTTCTGAAAGCCCATATTTAC